TATTTTTACTTATATGTTAAATTTTAAATGTATAATATATATAAATTTTATAGTAATTATAATTTGATAGGGACAAGGTATTTATTAGGTAAAAGACATACATTTCTTTATTAGTGATATTAAATATATCCCCCCCATTTTTAAAGTTTATATTTCTTCTTTTGTAAATTGTTTCTTCTGTCATTTAAGTGCTTTTCTGTACAACTTCAACATGATATTTCCTACTCGTGGCTAGTGAGAGAATTATGGGGAAGCGTGGAACACTATTCAAATGCCAAGCATTGTTATGCTTTTTAATTTTATATGAAGACCTTCTGTTCAGTGATTCATGATTGACCACAGTTTGGGCAGGTGCATTTGTTAATGTTCTAAATTTTAAAAGAGGAAAATAGGAATTTCGTACATTACATTCAGAATTTGTTGCCATTCCTCTGCTACGTCATAAAAGGTCAGTTACCTTTGCTCACACTGACCTATTCTTCACCTCCCCACTTCTGCTTTGTGCCAGGAGAGCAGAAATCTGACCCTTTGGGGATGCCACCCTCTCCCCTACTGTTCTCTCCAACCTGAGGCGAACTTTCCCCTGCTTCCGAGAGCCTCTCAGAACTGGTGAGGTCAGCCTGCTCCTTGGAATCCAGAACCATTTTCAGAATCCTGAACTTCTGTGACATCTCAGGGTCCCCTTTGTGAGGTTTTTGACTCCTGCTGCTTCTAGCAAATCACAGGTGCTCGGTCATCATTGAACAACACTGATGACATCTCCTGGAGAAGTCCCGCGACTCTCCACGTCTAGCCCGATATTAATATGCCAGAATCTCATGCTGTCATTCTTCCTCACAGTCCAAATAAATCAGCCCCTTTATCCTGTCACAGGTTCTCTCTCCCTACCTTTCCTTAACATGTTTGGGGCTAGCGCTGCACTCTTCCAAGTGAGCCACAGGGCCAGGCCCTCTCCCAACTTCTTAAGCAAGTAAAGGTGGTATTCCAGGTACCTATTGCTACCTTATAACAACAACCATTCGATTATTTCTCACAATTTTATGGATTAGGAATTTGGGTAGGCTTAGTTGGATGATTCTTCTGTTCTATTGACACTGACAGAGATTACTCAGTGGTATTCAGCTGGCAAGTGGGCTTATCTGGAGGGTCCAGGATAGCTGCACTCATATCTGGTGGCTTGGTGGGGATGGATGGAAATGCCCACATGAAGCATCTCCAGCATGACAGCCTTACAGAATTTGATTTCTTACATGATGGCCCAGGGCTTTAAAAGCAAGTGTTCCAGTGAATAAGCCAGAAGCTACAAAGACTTTTATGATCCAGCTTCAGAAGCCACACAGCATCAGCTCTGTGTTTTTCTATTGGTCAAAGCATTCACAAGCCCTCCCAGATGCAAGCAGAAGGCACATGGCCCCTCATATTTGATGGGAGGAATGTCACACATTTGCAATTATGTTTTAAAATTACCACAGAGAGAAGGACTGAGGAAGATTTGCAGGCAGCATTGGGGTGAGGGCTGGGAATGTACAAGTTGATACCAGAGGTTCACTAGAGTTAGCAAAGAATAATGCCCCCTCTTATACATTTTAGTCATACTATATTGGACGTTCTCAATCTCTGCTTAGCCATCAGCTTCACAGCCTAATAACTGCTCCAGAGTTGTGCAACCTAAGACCACCAACAATATTACAGACACGTCCAATAGCCTTTTCTTTGTTTTTGTCCTCTCGAAGTTTCTTCTAAACTCAACACTCATCAAGACCTAACCTTTCTTTAATCATATTCTCAAGAACCAGGTTCTATGATGGGACATGCTACTATTTCTTGTCCAAACACTACCTTTGACAAGGCCATTTTCTGTAGGCCATAACTGTGGGTACCCCTAGGTTTGGCCCTTGATGTCTTTTCCTTGTCCCATTGTACTCCCTCCCATGTAAAGTAGACTCCTGTTCATCACATTCATATCACTGACTTCCAAATACTTGCCAGCTTTGATATCTTGTTCTCTTGGCATGTTATATGCGGTTTCCTATGGTGGCTATCTTTTCCTTGTCCCATTGTACTCCCTCCCATGTAAAGTAGACTCCTGTTCATCACATTCATGTCACTGACTTCCAAATACTTGCCAGCTTTGATATCTTGTTCTCTTGGCATGTTATATGCGGTTTCCTATGGTGGCTCTCTATGTAGATATCAACACTATTCTCTCCAAATAATTCCAAGACTTTAAAAGCTGCTCTCATCTTCTTACCCCTAAAATCACCTCCCCTTACCAACCGCCTCATGACAATTAGTTGGTACGCTCACTGAGCCTGCTATGCTACCCTTGCTCTTAAACTGAGTCATCTTTGAAAAATCTTTGACTCCACATCTAAGCATTCATAAAGCTGTATTGTCTATCAGTTCAAATGTGACATTTATGTGAGAGCACTGCACAATCTGTAAAGCACTACACAGGCATGAGGCAATAACATGACTCCATACTTCCAATAGATTTTCAGTGTCTGCTCTCAGACCCTCAGAGGGTCTGCTCCTCACCTGGGCTCTATAGTCTCATCTCTTCCCAACGTCTTGCCCTGCGTCTCTCTTCCTTCCCATCACCTAATTTCCCAGTGAGTCAGGCCAACAGAATGCATCTCAGCATCTTTGCCTTCATGCATACCACTCACTTGCCTCAATTATGCTTTATTTCAACAAGTATTTGCAGAGGAGAAAACCCACTGCGTCTTCCTTCTCCTCTCTGTTTATTGAGAGCCCACCCTACAGTCAACATTGCCTTCCTCAGGCAAGCCCCGCAAGCCTGGCCTCCCTTGGAAGCTCCGTAGGACTGGCTTCCTGCACAGTATGTGTGCCTTTTCTTATGGAAGAGTTGAATATTATTCTTTAGGAGCTTCATGTCTTATTTCCTCTGCTCCTGGAGGAGACAACTGTGACTTTCATTGACTCCCTTGGACTTAGTTCAGTGTTGAGTACCAGCAGGCTCTGCAAGGCTGGATGCAGATTCTGGTAAAATATAAAGGATCTTTGGCTTACAAGAGAGGTCCTAGAGGCTGGGGCCTGACCTCTCCCCCTTCCCTCTTTCTTATGATTTCTGACTACATTTCTCAAAGGTATTTTTTTAAGTTTTCAAAAAAAATAAATGAATGTTCAAAATAAATCTTTGCACAAAGACAGAAGTAGGAAAAGCTCCTCTTCTTACAATAAACACACACAACAATGTTTAATTTATCACTGTAAGTAAGTTAGCAGCAAGATTGCAGATCTGGGTTAGCTCTGGGTTAGCTCTGGGACTACATTTTACACAGTTGGAAGCAGAAGCTGGAGTAAAGACGACTTTCCCAGGGTCACAGAGTTATAGGTGGCAGAGCTGCACCTGGAGCCATCCACCCGCTAGTGTCCTTTCCACTGCACCCCCTAAGAAATGTAATTAAAAGGAGCAAGTTATATCTCATTTTCTGTAGTGCTTTAGCAATTTACTGTTTGCTTTCTAGTATGTCTGTTATCTCATTTGACATCTTCCTACAAAAAGTGATCAAACAAAACACTTTCTTTTAAAAGTTCAGTGTTCTTGGTTTCTGTGAGGGACATATCCGAGTCGGAATTTGGTGGTTGGAAAGGAACCGGGAGGATGAGAAGTTAAAAGGAGAGGAAGGGGAAGCAGAGAAGGCTGCAAGGGTCCTGGGGTGCCAGCGGAACAGGAGGGGCGCCCACTCATGCCTCTCCTCCGAGAGCGCCTACTCAGCAGGGCTCTTTACCAGGATCACTGAGATCCCGCCTGCTCCCCGCCGCAGCGGAGGGGGCGCAGCCACAGGGTGACAGAGGTGTCGCGCGCGGGGGACGCCCGCCGAGCGCAGGGCCCAGAGAGCGAGGTGCGGGGCTAGGGCTTTCGGGGTGAAGGGCGGCTCCCCAGACACTGAGCGAAGATGGGGGCAGGAGCGACCCGGCTCTTCAGGGCCCGCCCCTGCCAGGTCCCACGCCCGGGTCCTCTGAGACCTCGCGCGGCTCAGCCCCGGGGCGGCCGGGCTATATCAGCCTCCGCGGAGGGCAGGGCGCGGCGGGCCCTCCTGGACGAGGCGAGGAGGCGCGGA